GAGACAGTGCAGTAGGTGCAGCACAAGTCTACTAGCACTTAAAACTAACTCCTGCACAAGTCATACCGTTTGCCTTCAGCCTGCTGAAACACGCGGTGGAGATCTTCGAACTGGAAGGTCGAACTGTCGTAGATACTCAAACGTAGTCTAGGGACTTATTTCGAAAATTTCATTTCTGAGGTCGATAACTGCATGCAGACGTCTACCCAATGGAAGTAAGAAGCAAGCACGTAAGCATAGATTTCAGCCTTGAACACTAAACGCTGACTAATCTGGCTTATGGTTGTTTGCAGGTTCTAACGCTTCTTTGTAATATCTTTCGAAAAAACATTTTTGAAACTTTTTCTTTTATCGGACTTCCCATAGAAAAAGATATAGCAACTGCAGAGCCCCTCTATCCTACTTATGCTCCTGGTTAAAGAAATGCAGACATATTATTTTCATGTTAGGAATCTTGTACGCTGGATGATTTATGTTCGAGCTAGATTGCGCGATTCAGTGACAACTCAGGCAAATTGTTCGTACACATTGTCTGTAAACATTTGAAATAATCACACTCCAAATTTTCTCCCTTTCCACTCACAGGCAACGCCAGCAGCCGAGTCTTCTGAAATATAATTGCGCAATTGCTCAAAACGACTGCAAGAATTCTTCTAGATTTCGTATACAAACGTAGTTGTGGAATCAGTTTTCTTTTTTTGTGAAAAGTTTCGAAATTCTTCCATCGGACAGATCAGGATGACTTTGAATATTAAATAATAAAACACTTGAGTTCAATTTTTGCTAACTGAAGCCCAAAAATCCACTGATCTCCTCGAATTTACTCAAGCAGACCACCTAAAATACGGACGTAAGATGATAACTTTAATTCCATATCACGCGTAAATTTAAGGGAGGCAATCAATTTAAGAAAATCACTTATGTTTGCCTATTTTATGAAGTAGTAATTCATTTCAACTAAACCATGGATTATTATACTTGTCGACTTTTGCCTACTGCGCTGGGCTCTTCTCTGATGCTGTGCTAAAGGTTTACTGAGACATTTTTAAATGCATGGTTCAAAAGAATAATCTGACTTGCTTGATTCCTCTTGAATTTGCCAGTTTTGAAAACAGAATATTATCCGTTTACATCACCGGTTTAGTATCTTAACTACCGGCCTAGAAGAAATGAGTTTTTAGGAGAGGCTCCCATGCTCTATTACTTGGATTTCAATTTTCTATCGCCGCGAATTTTAGCCATAGATGTTAACATTTTTCGATACACCATCATTTAGCTATGCCAACACTTAAAAACATTAATCGTGGTAGGAGAAAGCTTGTAGTGGAAGGTTTGTTTTTGTTGAAAATAATTCGTTTGTCTTTCAGCCTTAATAAGGAAAATGGTAGCCGAAGGTGTTTAGAGCCACCCGTGTGTGAAAGGACGAGCCCTAATCAGTCTTCCATTTTCAGACAAAGTTCGTCAGTTTTCTGGGTTAACGCCCGATAAGAAAAAAAACAACAGAAAGAATTGTCCATCCGCTCTCTAGGGAGATTGTCTCGAAACAACACTGGGTCGTAAGAAAAAAAATTACGGGGACCAGTGGCAATTTACCGTCGTCTCCTAGATTGGCCTGATCATCTGGCTCGATGTACTTAGTGCAAAAATAAAAAGTAAATCTGGATTAGTTCCACTTCCACTCGATCACTGTGGAAATAGGACAAAGGCGGCAACGCAGTCGACATCCGAAGATTTTTTCGTCAACCAATTGGTTAAGGTCTTGCCAATAGAAGTGAATATGCGAGTTCATACGCAGACTCAGACTCACCTACCGTTACCTACGATTAAGGCTTCCCGACGGAATCCGGGAAGTGGTCACATCTTCTTCTGGTTAAAGTCTGTTTTGGTGTTATTTGTTGATATCAGCATACAATGTACCCAAATATTCATATCCAATTTCCGTCTGCGGCTATAGACCCTTGAATATACCGATCGACTCTAAGTTACAAATTAATCTCTGGAGAAATTAAAAAAACTGCAATTTCAAAACTGGAGTGTCTATCAGAAAAACGCACCGGGAATGCTGAGGTACCCACTGATGAGAAAAACTCCTCGCAGCTGTAACATGCAGCGGCAGAATATCGGCGGAACCAATGTCTATGCTCTCACCTAGCACCTCTGCTGCCAGTATGGTAAATAATTACGCAAATTATACCACTGACTGTTTGTAGGCAGCTTGTGGGTTATCCCGCAGTGACTGATAGAAATAAAAAAACTGCAAGGAAATTTCCATTATCTTCACAAGGAGTCTTTTCTTATCAAGTACATGGTTGTCCTCCGCATGACTGTATCTTTCAATTTTCTGGATTAACCGTAGCGGATGGCACTTTGTCCGTATATTTTATTAGGGCCAAAAGCAGTGAAGCTAGGTGTTTGAAGGTTAGTCGGTTGTCCCTCTGTTTTCTCACTTCTTAATTCCGTTCTTACTTCTACTACGTTATCCCCAAAGTCTTCGTCAAATTCCTAACCACTGTTCCGTTCACAGTCTGAAGTAATTCGTCTGCGTAGATGATCACTGAACCGAACTGATTAGTAGTTCCTACAACCATGACGTCTTAAGCAACTTACACGTCTAATTAATCTGATCCAGAAAGACTTATTCAAAAGCTTACCAAATAAGTTCTAATAAAAACTTTAATGTGACTGTCAGTCGAAAGGGGTATTATGCTTCGCATACATAATATGCTTTGCTGATACATGCCATAAACTGGTTACATTGTACGCCAATTAATTTTCCTGAGTTTGCTTGGAATGCATTAAGTTCTCTGCCCGGACTAATTAGCTCAACATAAGCGGTAGCCGGTGGAAGAAAAATTAAAAAAGTAACCAGGCGGGAAAAAATGAAGAGGAGAAGAGGAAGGCAGTAAAGAGGAGGAGAAATAAGAGGGTGATTGAGGAGGGTGGTGGGGTATTCTGAGGATGATTATGATGAGGAGGAAGACAAGTAGGGCGAGTAGGACGAGGTGAAGGAGAAAGACGAAGAGAAAAAAGAGGAAGAAAGGGGTAAATTTGAAGTTGCTCGTAAAGATGGTGATTGGTAGTGGCTATGATTATGCTAAGGAAGAGGATAATGAGAAAAGACTGTGCTATGGTGCAAGCCGAGCACTTCAAGTATTATCGGATGAAAATTCTTGGATGGAGATTACACACCACTTTGTAGTATAGCCGTTCATGCAATTGCAATAGCAGGCCTGGTCACCAAAGCAAATCTCCTCTAAACAGTACCCAG